ATGCTTGAAATAAATTCATAATTATAAAAATTTGTATTGAAAGAGATTAGCTGTGCTCCTTTTTGTTGCTGCTAGTACCAACCCATGCTTTGTCGGCACTGTGGAAGATCACTTCTTCGATGTTATTTTTTTGGCTCTGTTTTTTGGCATTCATCAAAGTTGGTGTTCGCAGCGGTGTAGCTTACATTGGGCGGCAGTGGCGTTGTTCTCGGCGTTAGCTGGATTGGCGGCAAACTCGCAACCAGAAGCAGTCAAGTGCGACGGCCAAGTCTGCATCGACAATGTGTTCCGTTTTTGTTTCCTTGTGATCAGAGATTGCTGAGCCTTGTTCCTGTAGAGCTGCAGTCGAATTGAGCGATTTATCTTCGACAAATCTATTTGCTGCAGTAGATTTCTTTTCTTAATTGTTAGCAACCGAATTTGGTTTTTAATGTCTCTTGGACGGGCTTCAAATCGCGTTTTGGTGGCAAAATATCAAGACTTAGTGTGAGGTTGCTCTCTGCTAGAAGATTCCTATGATCGAGTGTCTTCAAAGGTTCTTGAAGGGGGGTTCGGATCATTAGCAAGTGGTGTGCGACAAAGCGTCGGTGGTTCTGTTGAAGGCGGTTGGTCTAGTTTGTGCAAAGCCTATGATCATCGGCGGTGCTTTTGTTTCTAAATTTTGACAGAGACATGGTACAATCAGGTCCCTAGACTGCTAAATCTCTTAACTCGTCAGTGGTGTTCCTTGTTTTTGTTTTAGAGTTCTGTTTTGCAACGCCAGTGTGTTGAAGGGCAGTTTTCTCACTCATCTTGATTCGGTTGCTTCCGGTGACAAAATGCTGCGGTGGGTGCATGTGGTGTTGTTTTGTGCTCATCCAAGGCGAGGGTCCAGCTGATATTGACTCAATATTGCTAGGAAATTAAAGCTAGGATTGATGACAGTGAGAGAATGCTCTGCAGTAGTTCTTGAGATGGGAGTAGAATGATTCCAACATCCTTAGTTAGGAAACGAGTACCTAATGTTGAGAGAAAACATAATCAAAGTTTAGGCTTGGATTGTTGCAGCTACTGGCTAATAAGTAGTTGTAGGTTGTTTGAAATCAATGTAATTTTCAACAATCAATATAAAAAAATAACCATCCAAGCACCCCTAGCGATATAAGGGAAGTTGAGCTCAGAAGGACTAGGCCTGGATTTTGTAATTATATGGAATTTATCATGAGACTTATTATTATAAATGTGAGATGGTAATAGAGAATTTGCTTGATCACTTGAGTGATTTAAGGAGTTTTAAGTGTGAATTGATTTTGAACAAAAGCTAAAATGGTCCCATGGCACATCAACAATATCTTATGAAGAAGTCCCATAATAAGATCAAGCCCAGCACTCTACAAGTCGGTGACATCGTGTTATTTTACAATTCGAGGTATGTGCACTTCCTTGGTAAGCTCCATACCTGCTGGTTGGGACCATGTATGGTCCATGCGGTTTTTCAGAACAGCTCAATTCAAGTTGGCACCTTAGAAGGTGAAATTTTTCCAGTCAGAGTACATTTCAACCAGCTGAAGAAATATTATATGGAAGTGTAGTGTTTGCAAAGACGCTTCACAATTGAGAGGAGGGCTATCTGAGGCTCCTCTTGAAATCGATTAGAATAATTAGGCAGGATTTTTTTTTTTTTTATATATAGTTACTACTAAAGTGTGTAGCTCAGTATCGATAAAAGTGTGAGGTGAAAGTTCAAGGACACCCATGCAGTCGAGAACTTAGTTAGGATTTTCTATGTGAAGGGGGCCCGAAAGTCCCTTCAGGAATTTCTAAATCAATGAGTCCTTGCCCCAAAAAATCAAACACTGACCAGAGCATGGCCACAATGAGCAATTATGATCAGAAGAACGAAGGCTACTCAATCAAAGACAAACGCTCAAGTACCAAACCAGATATACGAGTGGAACCTCGAGACCAACATTCAAATCCGATCCGGCGGCAGAAATAGGGAAGGACAGAAAGAAGGGAAGCTTCGATCGAGACAAACCTCACCAAAACAAGTGAAGGTCTGTAATGGCTAAAATCAAATGAAGGAATCAGCGAAGGACATGAAGAATCACGAAGAAAATCAGAAGGAGAAGTTGGATAAGAAGAGCGTTACGGACACGCTTGGAAAATAGAGTCTGTAGCAGTGGTGATTTTGACTTCTGCTACAAGAAGAGTTCATCCTAATCGGAAATGACTAACCAAGTTCTCTCTTCTCGAGAGATCTTAGTGCCTACTTTTTACTTACAAACCTCGAGTGTTCTGCCTGCCTGGACAACCCCAAGGCCAATCCACGATTAAATGTGTGCACATCAAGCATTTCTAACCCAGAAATGAACTTAAAATTTCATAGAAATTAAATGAAGATTACAAAGAGTAATCCTCTGCAATTGATGACTACTTGTCACGTTTCTTTTTTTTCCCTTTCTTTCTACTACTTAGCACCGTGACTCCTATCTGCTCCAATACTTCTCGAGCTCCAGTCCCCTTGGATCCTCGAGTCAAATTTTTGCCCAAAAAAAAGTCCCTAGAAACTCAAGTTCGCCACATCAAATACTTTTTCCCCTTTCGGCCTCAGCAGTACTGTTATAAAGAGCTTCTTAATTCCTAAATTTAGGCTAAGATTGCCATTAAACTCTGAAAAGAGGAGCTCACAGTATTGAAGTAGAGCTTCATTCTTGATGACGACCCTTGCCTTGATTCTAATTTCTAGATAATTCTAAATCCGTATTTAAGTCTTCCTCTACTTCACCTTTTAAATCCTTCAAGCTTCTTCTTCAACTCTAAGTTCCTCAAAACAACAACCCACAACAAAACTAAAAGGTAGTATTAGTGCAAGATAAAAACAAATAAAAACACAATAGAATAAAAACAATTTCTTTCCAAGCAAGCCTAAGACTTATAAAATAACTTCTTGGCAAACACACCAAAATGTGAGCAAAAAAATACCTCTACTAGTTGGAAGTATATTCTAGTTCACAACAAGTGAATTAATTATGTAAATTCTAGGATTTGTAGATCTTGTTCATTCAATTAAATCCACTCTTAAAACTCCTTAAAACACCTAAGTAGTCAAGTAAACTCTCTACTATCAATTCACATACACAATAATAAGTCACTCCAAAATTCCTTGCAATTTTGTGAGTCATAAAAAGTAACTCATTTAGATATTTAGTACAAAATAATGCAATTATTGTTCTTAAAATTACAATATATGGTGAGTAATGTAGAAACTATTAATCAAATAGATATTAAAATGATAGTTGTAGAATTAGTTTTTTATTATCTTTGATTTTTGTGATTATAATAAATGGTTAAGGTGAAATCCTCAATTCAAATACATCACAAAGAAGACAAAAAGAAAAAAAATTAAAAAAAAAAAAAGAAAGAAAGAAAGAAAAGAAAGAATAAATTAAAATAAAAATAAATAAAAAACATTGATAGTTTTAAATAATTAAAATAGACTAGAGTAAATAGAAAAAAATTAATTGAGAGAGAAAAGAAAAGTCGAAGAAGAAAAGAAAAGTAGAAAAAAATATGGGAAAAAAGAAAAAAAGAAGAGAAAAGAAGATGAAGGAAAAAAGGAAAATATGAAAAAGAAAAGATGAAAATGAGTCTTATCAACCGGATGGATGCCGGTTGGATACCTCGAAGGAGGCCATTAAGTTCCGGGGTAGTTCTGGACTCCAGTTGCATTCTGGTTCTTCTTTTAACCACAAAGAAAACTAAATCTAAAAAATCATGGTTGCATTGTTTTTGAAAACAAATCCATTCACATGAACTTGATGCAAGGTGTGCAATTTTGCTCTCAATAATAAATAATAATCATTAGTTATACAAATGAAGTGCATTAGAATTGAATTTCCCTCATTTTTTGTTGTAGGATTGAAATCCAAAAACCTTTGAAATGGTGTTGTGAGTTTTGAGATTTGGATAATAAAAACAAAGCCATAGAGACTTGAAATGTTTTTATTTTTGTTTCAATTTGGTTTTGTATTCATCCTTGCAACAATTTGTGGGTGGTTGATAGTGGATGCTTTGGATTTTAAACTTTTGAAAGCAATTATTATTTGAACTTTTTAAAGCTATTATTGCATCTATAAAGAGCTCAAGAAAATGAGAGCTATGGTGTGTAGCAAGTAGGGATCAAGACTCACATACCTAGTATATTGAATTGTATTTTACTAAGTTAATTCAACCTTGGATCCTACACAAATTGGAAAAGTCAATTGGGCACTAATAGATTTGCAAAATATAGTCATAATATATAATTATACATAGAGAAGTCAATTGAACAAGGAGAAGACTAAACCTAATGGCAACTAGGTTTGACTGTTGCTTGTGTGGATTCATCCATTTCCAAAAATAGCCATTCCATAGTCTATGTAGGACTCACCGATTTCTCCGAAGCAAGAAAGTTGGGCCTCAATTGCATATAAAAAAGAATACTTGTGATAGCTTATCAAGTTGAAGGAATGATTTGATATTATCACCAAAATGAGGAATAGATTTGCTATTAGTAAGAATACATGGATATTCTTAATACTTCAACATATTTCAAGGGTATATATGATATTTTACCTTAAAGTTAGATATTTTTAAAATTTTTGTTTGTATTTAAAATATGTTAATTCTTTTTAGGATAAAATCATGACGATTTTTTCTTTGTTTTATATCAGACGGATTACAAATTATAACACATTTCTTTGATACTCAAGCATGTTTAAATTTGAATTTGAAGACTTTGCTCTCATTTTTATATATCAAAAGAACATTTAACACAATATCTTAGGTTGCACAATGAGCTGCTAAAAAATTAATGCTCGAGCTGTATATTATTTTGATTACTGCAGAACATGCACATTCAAGAACTCTAAAAAATAAACTTATTAGACTAAAGTTCGTCTGAAAAAATTATATTCGTAAATAAGTAAAAAATGATTCGGTCACTAAGGGTCACTTTCTTCAAAATGTGGAAGCCTAAGTAAATCGATTCCAAGAAAAACAATTTATTATCGAGAGGAAAAAGAGTTGACCCTGATTTGGTCCCAATATATATATATATGCATGTATATATGTATATATAAACCTCAGAAAAAACATGGGTACAGAAGTATCCAAGGAAATTTGCGTTATCTGCACAAGCTTCTTGTAACCAACAAAAATGTGCATCACCGATCACCTATCTTCAAATCCTATGAAGCCAGACTCTTTGAGGCAATCTCAAAAACATTATCAGATAGACCGTCCTGGCTTTTTATTCGCTCCAACTGTGCCTGAGATCATTCCCACATATTATCAGTGAATATTTTGCACATGAAACATTCAGTCATAAAGCCAAAGGAAAAGTTCCAAGGTTGAAAGATGAACAGGAGATACTGGATCAAACATTTGAGGCCTTGACAAGCGATGCACGACTCTCCGGTCTTGCAAGTTAAATGAACCAGAGACAGTGACATAAACGAATTAAAGAAGACAGAAACTTACTTTGGTCAATGCTTGCCTTTCTTCATCAAACCTCCTCCATCTAGTGAAAGCCGAAATCATGCGTGATGCAACCTAAACCATAAAACATAAAGTATAGCAGAAGATTAATACGTACAGTTCACCTTGTGGAATAGATATGGTCATTTATCACAAAATGTGCATGACATACTGTTTAACAGACAACAAAAACCACAGCAATAAGCCCGAAATCACAGAAAATAGGACTGAAGCTTCTAAAACGTAATGTTCTGAATGAATGTGACAAATATCATAAGAACAAACCTGAGGATTCAGCTTATCCAGCTCAAGAACAATGTCGGCCAAAAACTTGTACCCTGAACCGTCCTTGGCGTGGAAATTGACAGCGGACGCACAGAAACCACCAATCAAAGAATAAACCTGTGAAACAAAAGTGCAGTTAGAAGAAACCATTAGGAGGTAACACTCAAATAGAGTGCAAGATGAAAGCACGAAGGAAGTAGGAAAAATCATGTTAACAAACCTTGTTGGGGTTACGGATGTCAAAAGCAGGGTGCTCCAGCAGACTCCGCACATGCTCAACATTGCCTGGAACATCAGACATAGCTTGCAAAGCTAGCCATTTGTTCATGACCTGTTCGGACCTTTAGTTAGATACAACATACAGACCGAAGTGCGAGGAAAAAATCATTACTAACACCAAAACTACAAAATATGTTTGCTGCAAAAGGTATTTTGAAACTATTTTCTAGTCTTAGGCCAGAACTTACCAAAGCCTCTTCCTTCCACTGGTCGTAGAAGTCTGATAGAGCCTGAGAGCGAGCATCTCCAGGGTTCTGACAGAGTGCAGCTAGAGCAGAAACTTGATCGGTCATGTTTGTAGCATTCTTATATTCATTCACTAACAATTCCGTTATCTCAGGTTCATTCAAAGATGCCATGTAACCTGCACAAAACGTTCGAAATCCGTCTTAAAGTGAGCTATGTTTCTCTTACGTATTCAGGCTCAAGTTGTTCGTGAAAAGCATTAAAATCTGGCAACTGCTCGAAGCGTAAACAAATCGAATTGAAGATACCTTACAACAGGTACAAATTTAGACGTATTGTCGCTTAGACCGTTCAATCTATAGCTTTTAGACATAAAACTCAAGCCAGACAAATTACTGTTCACATGGATTAAGGAAAGAATACGTACTCAATGAAATATTTTTCAAAGACCGCCGAGCTCTGTGCTCGTGGCTGGGGTCATAAGCAGCAGAACTACGATTTTCTTCCACCTGCATTTAAAACCCGCACAAACTTTCATAACTAGATGTAGAGGCGCACTAAGTAATTTTCATTATGTGCATCACAAGCAAACCCGAACCGATTAAGCAAAATTGATTTGGTGAGCAAATTGTTCCAAGTTCAAAGAAGGTACATAAAGGCACCTTGAGGAATGCAAGGATAGAAGAGGAAGACTCGCAAGAATCACAGTGTAACAAAATCAATCACTGACGCACTAGCCAGAAGGGATATGAAAAGGATAAGGATTTGCTCTATTTTTGAAACTATCATCTCCACCTTCATGCCTCGTTGATGGTTCGACGTGGACATTTTCATTCATAACAAAACTGCAAACCTAAAGTAATTCCTCTACGAAGTAGAACCTTTAGATCATACCGTGCTCAGAAGTTCCTCGCGAAGGCTCGCAGCAATTTGTTTAATAACAAACCGTCTAACAGTGTGTATGGCATCTGGATCAGCCACCTCCATAAGGTCGGCAATCTCACTTTCTCCAGGTAACGACATACATTTCGCCACAAACTCCTGCAATCAAAAATAAATAAATAAATAAAGAAGAATAAGACGTGGAAGGCACAGCATCCCCTGGCTTCAAGATAAACTACAGTTGGAAACAGCAGGAAAATATTCACTTTCCTACTTACCTTGTCGAGGGAGGAGTTCGTTACGGTACTGCGGATGCCCTCAATAAAAGCACTGTTAACGTTAAGCTCTTCTCCCTTCTGTTGCTTAGAAATCAAGTCCAGCATAAGCTTGCGAGCTAGAGTCTGACCAGCTTCCCACCTGTCCTCACCCCAACACAGCGTGAGCAATCCAATGACGTATACAGAGCACGTCAACCCAGACTTCAAATTATTGCTTATGCAGATCTGGGGTGTATCAAACTGAAGCACACGAAAGTTATTGCCAAAATTACCTGTTAAATTGATCAGAATCATGAGCCAGGAGAAAAAATAGCTCGTCATCTGTAACATCAGAGACTAGGCGCACCGGCGCACTGAAGTTCCGCAACAATGATGGGACTGGCTTCTCAGTAATGCCCAAAAATGTAAACTCTTGCTCGGCCTAAAGATAAAGTCATAACGTTAGAAAAAGATTGAATAACCGATTCATAAAATGCTAGTACAACCACTGCTGGAGCCCCAACTTTGTCAGTCTGGTTTACAAAAATACTTCTTCAAAACTTCCAACAGGCACCGTACTGATAAAGTTGAACCCCGGACCAAAGAATGTTACCTTGTCAACATGCAATACAGCAGTAGTGGTAAAATCACCATCCGAACTGCTCAAATTGTGAAGTGAAGCGCCATCCTTAACAGAGCTCAGACGCATGTCATTTCCTTGTGAGTCAAGAAGTCCCACAGCCAGAGGTAGAAGCATTGGCTCCTTCTGTGGCTGGCCTGCTGTGGGGGGAACTTCTTGCCTATACAATCAAAAACTATATTAGTAATAGAACATATGTAGTCCACAGCGATAGTGCATCACAAGAAAACTTGTAGATAAGAGAATTTGCAGTTAACCACCACTCTTACGATGAACAAATAAAAAGGTCACATAAAGCTTCAAGAAAGACAAGAATGTGCTTTCAATGCTAACAACTACATCTAACGGGTTTATAGCACATACTTGCACTTGATCGTGAAAGATTGCGCATCAGCGTCATAAGAGGTGGTGACAGTCAGAATCGGAGTACCTGCTTGAGCATACCTGGAAAACCACGAGTATACTACAATCAATTAGAGAAAGAAAGTGATGGTTCAATGAGGGACAGAGGATCAAGGATAAATTTCAGTTGAAATGAAAACAAGAAAGAAACGTATAAACAAAATGCGACCAACTATTACAAAAATAAAATCCAAGGTGAAATAATTTACTTACGACTGCAGCAGAACGAAGCTCAAAATTATTTTATATCAGGACCAACTTACCAAAGAGGGAACGTAGGGAACTTCGCATCATTGGCATCAAACATGGCCGCCATAAATTCCTCACAAGAAACAGCCTGACCATCGTGCCTTTGGAAGTACAAATCCATACCCTGAAGCCCCGATTCGAACCAGACTCTTAATACCACATACTTAAGAAAGAAGGCGTGCTTACATCTGAAGAGGGTTTAAATATCCTCTAACTGGGAAGACATCTCGAAAAACTCATCGCAGAGTAAACCCACGAAAAAATTGACGTAAACCCGGCCAATGAGAAACTATTACATATACATAGCAATTAAAACATGCAAAAAAGACTTCAACTTCGTTATCCAAATTAAAGAGGGCAAGATGATAAACCTTTCTAAAGCCTTCCTTTCCAAGCAAAGTCTGATACATACGGACGACCTCAGCACCCTGCAGGTCGAGATATAAAGTTAATTAAGAAATGCTTAAAAACTAAAATAACTTTAATTAAGTTGAGGAACGTTTGAAATGAGGACTACCTTCTCATAAACCTGCAATCCATCATCATGAATCGCCATGGCCGCAACAGAATTACCATGCAAACGACAAAGTCATGATTAGTCCCATTCTATCATACAAACCACCAAACATTAACAAATAATAATGAAAAATAGCAGAAAACTTGCGAAGGTGAGATTAAGAAAACTAACAGTAACGGTGTAGAAGTTATCCATCTTTATATAGGACTGAGGTCGCACAGGATGTGCCATCGGACCAGCATCCTGCCAGAAGCAAGAGCGGCCATTAAAAGAGATACGAGAGTCAGCCATGAAAGTATGCAGGCAAAACTTAACAGTACAACCCTCTAAGAAAAGCTACCACAACTCTTTGAAAGGAACCAGCCAGAGATTTTTCGTAAAAACAAAAAATTTGAAATCTATCAAAAACAAAGTGTGAATCGAATACTAACCTGAGGAAATTGAGAAATTCGTAGCCGGGACACATCAGAAATACGCTTTACTCCACGGCTACCCATGTCAGATGAGAATTCCTGCACCCAACATGCATTTAAGAAGACTAACCACCATGAACTATACAAAAAAGAACTGTAAAACGTTCCAATACATAATTAAAAATATGATCTAGATAGTATTCAAAAACTCCTTACCTGATCTCTAAATACAGTAAGACCTTCCTTCAAACTAAGCTGAAACCAATCCCTGCATGTCACCCTGTTCAAACGCAAAAGAATTATGAAGCCCTATTTTGAAATGATCACAAGATATTCCAAGACACAAAACAGAGCAGAATGTTCATTCCACGGGTCCACTGCAAATGCGTGCATATATATATATATATATACACACACACATTTGCAACTTACAGTAACAAATCCACTTAATTTTCTCAGGTGAAATGTTGCCCGGTACATACCGATTTCCTGTCCAGTTGTGAAAATACTGCATTTCCAGACCGCGCAGATCAATCAGAAGAGTACTTCAGTAGTCATCAACGATGAACTAAATAGAGCACACTATTCAGCACAAACAATCCCCGGGATACACTCAGAACCACTAACCTGTTAATTGCTGACTAATTATGATAAGATTCGACAGATTAAAAAAAAGTATATAGCTCTTATGAGCAACATATAGCAACATAGTCACAGAGGAGCAGTGTACCTCGTGGCCAATAACACCCTCAATAGCAGCGTAGTCTGAGTCTGTGGCTGTCTCAGGAGACGCCAAAACCAACCTCGAGTTGAAAATCTATTTAAATATGTATTATGTGACACACGTATTAAAATAACCACAGAATGAAGGGTAGAAAATGTTCAGCTCCACATGGTTAATGCAAACAAGATGTGCAAGTGGCATAATGTATAATCGAACCAAGCTTCCAGAAGTTCACACACCACTGTTCGGAAGTGCAACAATCTCAACACTCATAATCCAAGCAGTATAAATATTGCAATGGACATAAGTGGATACTCTGCGTAGCATAGACAGCAATACTTACGTTCAAACTCTTATTCTCCATAGCACCCCTGTCAACCATAGGCAATAACCACGCCGTAGCAAACCCGTAAAAATTAGCACCAAATGAATTCGAATTAACACAAGCTATCATCACTTATTCGAAATTCCACCAAACATTGAAATTTGAATACCACCATAATGTAACGCTGGGCAACAAGGTCGAAAATTGTAGAAGTTAGCATACTCACATGTTGAAATCTGGCACAGCAACAACGTTGAAGAGGTCTAGATCATACTCCAAGCCGAATACCTGCTCAACGATATCAAAATCAGACATAACTCATGTGCTACCAATAAACAATTTACAGATGGTTCTATGCAAATATCTACGCAGATAAACAAGTATTTCCGTCTAAAGGGACAAGTCTCGTAAGAAGATGAGTCCTTTAAGTCTTCGGTTCACTGGTCCAACACAAGCATATGAATATTGATTCCTGTAAGTACAACATATTCACCCCTACAAATTCGATTTGACAAGAATTCTACCCATGAATGAAGACTTGGCACCGAAGTTGAATGCATCCTACCTAAGTTAGGAAATATATTGAAGAATCTCACCTCTTCGTCCCATTTCATAGAATTGATTAAAGACTTCATTGCGTGGTCGGTCTTAGGAATATCTTGTGGAGGAGTCCAAATTCGTAGAACGACTTTGCGGCCTGACATAGTGGTGAAAGTATCATCACGACTTACAAGTTGACCAGCTACCAGTGCAAATAAGTAGCAAGGTTTGGTCCATGGATCCTCCCACACTGCATAATGCTTGCCATCCTGCGACCCAGCAGCATGCTAATCAGAGAAATAAATTTACTCCTAATACATTCACTTTAACATCAGCAACGCAGAAAATATTAATAAATAAATAACAATAATAATAATAATAATAATAATAATAATAATAATAATAAAATTCAAATGGTGAATTTAGCATTGCACGGTTGGGCATGCCACTTTCGCAGCAAGAAATGAATGTTGAGCGACTTACTGTTAAGTCACCTTCCTCGATCAGGTTGCCATTACCCAACAACACTGGGTAAAGGGCTTTATCGGCTTCTATGCGTGTTGTGAACTTAGACATAACATCAGGACGGTCCTGGTAGTAGGTGATCTTGCGGAAACCCTCTGCTTCACATTGGGTGCAGAAATTCCCAGATGACTTGTACAGCCCTTCTAAAGAAGTGTTGTTCTGTGGCTCGATCTCGGTCACAATTTCCAACTCAAAGGGACCAGTAGGCAGTGAAGTCAAGTGCAATTTCCGCGGAGTGATCTTAAAATCTTCCTCCTGCATGAGGTTAGAACGGACGCTTTTCAGCATAGGTCAAAAACATCCATGCCAAACTCAAACAAGAAAATGACAAGCGTTACCAGGAACCAAATTCCAGACCAGAATGCTGCGATGAGAAAATTAATATGGCTCATAAAAGACTAGCTAGAATTCACTGGATATAAAAGAATGAAAAGATGAAAACATGATATTGCTCAACACCAAACAATTCATGAACAGACAGAAATATTAAGTAAAGGAGACCTAACTAACTTACCGGTACGGATGAGCCATTGATTTTCAAAGTAACTAATTTCAAGCTTGAGTCACCGTCAAGTATCAATGGGGCACCTGTGAACAGAAAACGCTTTATCAAATAACTATACTTGCGACACTTGTAAAGTTGACTGACAGCGAATGTCACAACAGTCTCCTGAATAACAATGACGAAATAATTTGACAACAAACAAAGGACGAAAGTCAATTGCAGCTGCAAACTAAAATCTAATGGACCACGTTAACTAAACGTAGTCCAGGACACACGCATCATACCCCAAAAAAGCTTCAATTAACTGCCAGCGGAACAAGTGCACATTCATAAGAGGTCATTACCAGAAGATTTAGGAAGGACGCGAATGTTGGATGTAACTAATGTCTTCTCCTCCCCCAACTCGAATTTCAAATCTACCTGCAAGAAAAATATCACAGCATCTAAACATATTTAATACAAATAATCAGCAAACCCTTAAACAGCAAATGTGAAAGCACACAAACGAAAGCAGTGAAGCTGGAATAGCCCGCTAGAATCACCTTTTCAAAAGCATAATCTGGTGCCTTGTAATCCCTAAGAAAGATTTCCTTGGGACCCTCCTTGACAACCTCATCCTTCGCCATGGTGTCCTGAGGCTGGGCTGCTAATGTACACTGAACACGACTAGACACCGAATCCTGGGGAAAGAAACGAAGAAATAATTACTATCCCAAACTACTAAGAGTACAACATACCTGAAGAAAAGTGCGGCAACCCGCCTTATAATCTAACACACAAGTGAACAATTTTCAAAGAAAGAAAAGAAAAGAAAAGAATGATGACCAAATCACAGTACGCTGGATCAATTTACCCGCAAGTGAAGAAGATTGTTGCTGAAATATGACTGTGAGCCAAGTGCCTGAAAGAAGACAATTGAATTATCTTAATCGAGTCAAGGATCTCGAACTAATAGAGACCCTCATAAATTTACAAAAGCAAGGAATAGCAGATAAAACTGAACTGCAAAAATTTGTGCATGGAACTTACCCTGACACTCCTGGAAAGAGGACTGGCCCTCAAAGTCTGCCTAGAAACGATACCACGCTGGACCCGAGCTGATTTGAAGGTCGGATTCTTCTGAAATTGACGCATGTTACACACAAAGCATTCAGATGTTTGTGTAATGCATCCAAAGAATTGTGAGGGTTCAACGAGGCTGTAGAATACTGTGATCAGCAGTCTATCACATGACGCAGTCTTAACCAAACAATAAATCCAAACCCTTGCAGTCTGATGCAGCTCTCCAAGATAGAAATCATTATATTCATGCGAAACTTCACGTCACGCATCTGTCCGTGTTAATACGCAAACAAACAAAGAATTGGAAAAAATCTGCGAATGTTGGGCAGACCCCTAACATTAAAATCCGGCCACAGAGGGATCGCAAAGCAGGCGTCTACATTTCCAACTCGAGAGTAGATAAACATCACTCGTCTACTAAAATAAAAGAGACATTTGTGACAACCCTAACTACCGCTCAGCTATCCAATTGATTCAAATACTACACGATGAGGACTAATCCTCCACTTAGCCAATACGTACTTGCTTCAGCAAAGCAGAAGTAACCGGTTCAGGGCAAGTTCTTCGAATCTGCAACAATCTAAAGAGATGAAGGAAAAATTGTAATGAACTCTTGCCTAAAAGCAATCTTCTATAAACGTATGATCATGTCCTCTCTCGATACTAGAAAAAATTCACATGTCCTCAAAAAATCGTGATTGCTAAACAGCTACACACGAATAGAAAAAACATGTGTATATCACCGGTGGCAAATATCTAAGAGACATAAGAATTAGTCCTCGGACCTGAAGAAAAACTGCATCAGCGAGTGCTCATCAAAAGGAGATTGAATAAGACCTGCAAGATAACACTAAATGCTATTGTCAAATGATGGCAATCTGCAAAGCCCTAACCTGAAGGAATATATCTCCAGAACTGCAAATGAGCACCATCAAGCATGAACACCATCAAGCTCTACAATTGAAGCGATCGAGCCGAACCGAATATATACTTTCAATCTCTCCTGAAAAAAAAAAAAAAAAAAAAAAAAAAAAACCCGGAAAAAAAAAACCGTGGTAACGCACGACACATTTAGCGGACACTCCTGTTGACTGCGTTCAAAGTACCAGTTTAGAGAGCACGCCATCCTTGCCCCGGCAATACTAACATGTCCAAAAGTCAACCGAATTCGACCTGCCTTGTAATTCATCCTATCCAGAGAATATCCCCTTTAAGATAACAACTGATTGTTACTGATCCAACCGCCAATACTCTTGGATTCCCTCAACTTCCAACAACCAAGAAAGGCTGACAAATAAATCCTCAGCACATAGCTATTCGCGCATACCTCTCACTGACATCCATCTCGGAATTCGGCGTTTCTTGCAGTGCACAATCAACAAAAACAGCTGTCAACAGCAACGACAAGCCTCCAACACACAACCCAGGCATAGAACACTCACAGTCGCAGCCGCGCGCAGCAAAGAGCGGGCGGAAGATCGCAAGCATGCCATAGACATACTCCGTCGCAACCGCGGCACCGGCATAAGCACCAGCCCTCCCGCTGCACTCCCAGCAATCCAAGCGCCAGAACGCGAGCTCGAGTCTGCAGCGGAAGCATACAGAGCACTTGCGGGGCTCCGCTCTAGTAGCACTGACAAAGCGGGCGCCGCCATCCCCGCCAAAATCCAATTTACCAAAAATGCACCAAAATCTTCAAATCCGCTAAATTAGACTCACTTGCCTACTCTCTATCAAACCTAATTGCCTCCACAACGCCTCCAGCCTAGCAACAATACCTCCAATTCACTGCCAGACATCACCGCCTCTGACACCAGCAGTCGCACAGAATGGG